GATGATCTTCCTATCACTGTCATTGAGGTAATAATCTTAATGTCCCATTATTTCAAAAGCCATTTTCCTATCTACATTTTCCTAGTCTTGTGCTACCTAGATTTACCTTGTTTCCTGCCAACCGTGGCAACTAAAAGATTATAAGAGAATGAAAAAATAATGACCAAATAATGCAGAAAACAAGGTAGGATAATAATGTTAGTGTCCACGTGGGGAGCAAAAACTTAGGAAATCTTTTTACATGATTTTCAGCTCCACCATTTTCACCTCTCTGACAGATTACTCTTTTTGAAACGCTATTCTAGCTAACAAAGAGTATCAACTTGGAACTATTCAAATTGCAGAATTCATAAGATTTCAATTTCAACCTTACTTGAGAGGTTAATGTGATAAGTAGTAAAATTTACCATAATGAAAAACTAAGCAACATGGGAATGAGTATGAGCATGACCACATTTTCATTATTAAACAACAACTTCATTACAATAATAAAAGAATAAAGAAGCTAGCTCTTGGACCCAGATCTTCTACTCTTCTTCCTCTATAAGCAAAAAATGGGGTTTCCCCCTCTACGATCCCAAAACAGATCAACCGTTCTCTTCTATCAGCAATGCCTGAAAGCTTAAGGAATCTGTCACTTTCTCCCAAAATCTTCTCCTTCACCTTGCTTCTCTCATTAAACTCCCTACTTTTTTTTCCAAGTTGTTACTCCCTTGATGAGCAAGGCCAGGCTCTTATAACATGGAAAAACAGTTTAAACATCACTTCAGATGTGTTACCATCATGGAACCCTTCAGCCTCAAGCCCATGCAACTGGTTTGGGGTGTACTGCAACTTACAAGGAGGAGTGGTAGAGATAAACCTGAAGTCAGTGAGCTTGCAAGGCTCATTGCCTTCAAATTTTCAACCTCTAAGGTCCTTGAAGATTCTTGTCCTCTCATCAACCAACCTTACAGGAAGGATTCCAAAAGAGATTGGAGACTATCTAGAGCTTAACTTTGTTGATCTCAGTGGCAATTCTCTCTTTGGTGAAATTCCAGAAGAAATTTGCAGCCTAAGAAAACTGCTGAGTTTGTCTCTCCATACAAATTTCCTTGAAGGCAGCATTCCATCCAACATTGGAAATCTATCAAGTCTTGTGAACTTGACACTCTATGATAATCACCTCAGTGGTGAAATTCCAAATAGCATTGGCTCCTTAAGCAAGCTGCAAGTTTTCAGAGCTGGTGGCAATAAGAACCTCAAGGGTGAGATCCCATGGGAGATTGGAAACTGCACAAACTTGGTCATGCTAGGCCTTGCAGAAACCAGCATTTCAGGAAGTCTTCCTTCTTCAATCAAAATGCTGAAAAAAGTCAAAACCATAGCCATATACACAACTCTATTGTCAGGTTCGATTCCAGAAGAGATTGGCAATTGCAGTGATTTGCAGAACCTGTACCTGCATCAGAACTCTATCTCGGGCTCAATACCTAGCGATATTGGACAACTCAACCAGCTTAAGAGTCTACTTTTGTGGCAAAACAATATAGTTGGTACTATCCCAGAAGAACTTGGAAGCTGCACAGAGATCAGAGTCATAGACTTATCAGAAAACCTTCTCACAGGTAGCATACCAAGAACTTTTGGTAACCTTTTAAATCTTCAAGAGCTTCAGCTAAGTGTCAATCAGCTCTCAGGTATAATCCCTCCAGAGATTTCAAATTGCAGTTCTCTAAATCAACTGGAACTTGACAACAATGCTCTTTCTGGTGAGATTCCTGATCTTATTGGCAACTTGAAAGGCTTAAGTCTTTTCTTTGCATGGAAGAACAATCTAACAGGAAACATCCCAGATAGTCTTTCTGAGTGCCAAGAACTCGAGGCACTTGATTTGTCTTACAACAATTTGATTGGTCCGATACCCAGACAACTATTTGGGCTGAGGAACCTCACCAAACTACTGCTTCTTTCGAATGAGTTATCAGGCTTTATACCACCTGATATAGGAAACTGCACAAGCCTCTACAGGCTGAGGTTGAATCACAATAGACTAGCAGGTAACATTCCCCCAGAAATTGGAAACTTGAAGAGTTTGAATTTCATGGACGTGAGCAGCAATCATCTTTCTGGAGAGATTCCTCCAACACTATCAGGGTGCCAGAATCTCGAGTTTCTGGACCTTCATTGTAACAGTCTCACTGGTTCTGTTCCAGATTCTCTTCCCAAAAGCCTTCAATTGATTGACTTGTCAGAAAACAGGCTAACTGGTGCATTGAGTCACACCATTGGTTCATTGGTTGAGTTAACCAAACTCAACCTTGGAAACAATCAGATAATTGGAAGAATCCCAGCAGAGGTCTCGTCTTGTAGCAAGCTACAACTTCTGGACTTGGGAAGCAATAGCTTCAATGGAGAAATTCCCAATGAAGTTGGTCTGATTCCTTCATTGGAAATCTCTCTCAATCTTAGCTTCAACCAGTTTTCTGGTAAAATTCCGTCCCAGTTCTCTAGTCTTACGAAATTAGGAGTGCTTGATCTCTCTCACAACAAGCTCTCAGGGAATTTAGATGCCCTTTCTGACCTTGAGAATCTTGTTTCCTTAAATGTTTCCTTCAATGGCTTCTCCGGTGAGTTGCCTAACACTCCATTCTTCCACAAACTCCCACTTAGTGATCTCGCTGAAAATCAAGGTCTCTTCATTTCTGGAGGTGTCGTAACTCCTGCTGACAAAGGTCGTGCTTCATCAGCTATGAAGTTCATTATGTCCATTCTCTTAAGCACGAGTGCAGCACGAGTGCTGCTCACAATCTATGTCTTGGTCCGTACTTACATGGCCAGCAAGGTTCTCATGGAAAATGAAACTTGGGAGACGACTTTGTATCAGAAGCTTGATTTCTCCATTGATGACATTGTCATGAATTTGACATCAGCCAATGTGATTGGCACTGGAAGCTCTGGAGTTGTGTACAAGGTGACAATTCCAAATGGTGAAACACTGGCAGTTAAAAAGATGTGGTCATCTGAGGAGTCAGGAGCATTCAATTCTGAAGTTCAAACATTGGGGTCAATTAGGCACAAGAACATTATCAGGCTTCTGGGCTGGGGATCAAACAAGAACCTGAAGCTTCTGTTTTATGACTACCTCTCTAATGGAAGCCTGAGTTCATTGCTTCATGGTTCAGGAAAGGGAAAGGCTGAATGGGAGACAAGATATGATGTTATATTAGGTGTGGCACATGCACTTGCATATTTGCACCATGATTGTTTGCCTGCTATTATTCATGGAGATGTCAAAGCCATGAACGTGTTATTAGGTCCTGGATATCAACCTTTCCTTGCTGACTTTGGCCTGGCAAGAACTGCAACTGAAATTGATGACAATACTAACTCCAAGCCAGTTCAAAGACATTACCTTGCTGGTTCATATGGATACATGGCTCCTGGTATTTTATTTTATTTTATTTTTTCTACTAAAGTTGAATTAATTGAGTGATTTCTTGTAGAATCATATGTGTTTTAGTTACTAAAAATTTGGTCATATTTGATTTTAGTCCTTTAAAAATGATTGTTTAGTTTTACATTTTTTTGAAACGAGGTGGATTTCATTCTTGGATTTATACTTCAATTTGACCTATAGAGGATAAAATCTACCACATTTCAAAAAATATAAAGACCAAAATTACATTTTTTTTTAAATAGTGACTAAAATTAATTTTATCAAAATTTAGATTTAGAACACATTTTACCTTTGTTCTAATTCATTAAACCTTTGATTAGTACTAATTTCTGTTGTCTTGGTTTTATTCACAGAGCATGCATCACTGCAGCCTATCACAGAAAAGATTGATGTGTACAGTTTTGGCATGGTTCTACTTGAGATTCTCACAGGAAGGCACCCTTTAGACCCAACTCTGCCAGGGGGAACACACTTGGTTCAGTGGGTTAGGAACCACTTGGCTAGCAAAGGAGACCCTTCTGATATTCTTGACATAAAGTTGAGAGGGAAGGCTGATCCCACCATGCATGAAATGCTACAAACTCTAGCAGTGTCATTTCTATGTGTAAGCACTAAATCTGAAGAACGGCCAACAATGAAGGATGTTGTTGCAATGCTCAAGGAAATTAGACCCCTTGAGACCTCAAGGACAGACCCTGATGTATTGAAGGGAAGTTTAACAGCACATAGTTCACCACCACCTCCTAAGAATGTGGTTTCACATGGATCTTCTACATGCTCTTATAATTTCTCTGATAACTCAATCAGTTGAGCATGTATGAAGTATGCATCTCATGGAGAAGCTATGCTTCAATCCAATTGTACATAGTCTAATGCAGTGCCAATTAGAGTTGCCCTGAATTATAATTAAATGATATTCTAATAATTTAGTGTGGTAATTTTTCCCCTTTAAATGTAATGTTACATAGAGGATGCGGATTTCAAGAATCCATCTATATGTTTAGTATATGTTGAATATATAAATAAATATAATTTCTTAAGCATTTTTCTAACTATTTAGTTGCGAATATGCCCAAACTAGAGAAAATACTTGCATGAGACTCCTAAGTTGGGTTGAACTCAACAGTCTACTGACCTTTAAAGGGTGTGATTGGTCTAATCGTGCTTTTTTATTGAGGAATGAATGTGTCCTTCTTTAACTATTTCTATCTTTTTTAAGACTTGTTACGAATAATGAAGGATCTAGTAGTTATTTTAGATCCATAGAATCTTTCTGTCTAGGAACTCTCAATCTTTCATGCATTATTAGGCATTTGATGAGTAAAATGTAATCTAATTCTTGATCAAGTAATCCACAACCCCTCAAATGTCAAACTAAAAAATGGATTTCAACATCTAAATTTATTGGCAATTGAATGAATGATAATAAGAAGATTCAACAATGTTATCAGTAGAATTTGGTCTAGTTCCTGTTAGATGATTTAACATTCTATTTTATTTGTAATGGAATGAATATAAGAAATTGATGACATTTTTCTCAGCTTATAATTGCTACTAGTGTTTACACTTCCTCAGCGATATAGCCAACTGGGAACAGTGAAGGCTTAACTGTATATTAAGAGAGCGACCTAAAAGTATGGAAGCTGAAACAATGATTGGTTCTTTTGGATATTTCTGTTTAGAATTTATTGATAGAGAACAATATTCCTTCACTCATTCTCTCTCTCTTACATCCCCACAAACAGACACATCCAAGACAGCCTTTCATAACAGTACTCACATGGTCCCACGTTCAAAACCACAGTCCATGTGCTGTCTGAGAGAGACTCCAGTTTCCAACTATTGGAATGGAAACTTCATTGGATATACTCAGTGAAATAAAAAAAAAAGTAATGTCAACTGCTTAATTTTACAATGATGTTACATCAGTTGAACATATGATTCATTTTCACCATTTAAACAAGATTATTAAATGGTATGTGCACATATACATAGAATTACAAAACACTTTTTATGTGAAAGGAAAATAGAAAAAATGAAACTAGAAAAATTATGTAACTTGAAGTTATATCAGATTTCTGACACTGAAAGGTTCTGTACATCGCAATCAAATGCACATGCATACCAGAACCATTATAAATGAAACAGTGAAAGATGACATTGAATAACACTAGCTACTAACTGCTCCCAAACCAGTTTCAGTGTCCCCTCTGCAAGTAAACCAAACAGATTTCTTTGTAATAGTCAAAGTTTCTTGCCATGATATGATCATCCTTCTTCTTTTGAAGGGCAATGGCCATAATGTCACTGCTTGAAACCTTCTGACTTTTATTTTTCATAATCCAAAGAATATATTAAGACTTTCAAGTATTACAATTGTTTGAATTCAGATTTTTGTTGTTTCTAAATGATAAGGGAATAGTAGTAATTTATGTGTGTTCTATGTGTTGTGGTGTTGTTGACCTTTCTAATGCTTTTCATTTTAATGAAACTTAAACATGATTATGCTAGATTTGTGTTATTCACTTTGGTTGCAAGGCAAGTAGGAACAAATTGGTGAATCTCGCAGATGCTCATAATGCAAAACAAGGGAGTTTTCCATCATTTGTAAGGTTGAGGAAGCTCTGTGTACTAACTGAAAAGCTAAATTGATAGTATCATTGAAAAAGCCATTTTTTGGCTTTATCATGGGAAGTGTAAGAGAAGGACAAAAAAAATTATGTCACAACAAAAATTAGAGCATGTAAGAGTTCAATGAATTCAAGAAGAATGATTTTATCTTTGTAAGTCCATTATACCACTGGAATATGTGAGAGAACAAAAGTAGAGCATGATTTGCACTTATTATTTATTAAAAAAATTAGTAATATGTTTTTAGTCCTTATAAAAATTAGTGAATTAAAATTTTGTTCTTGTAAATTTTTTTTCTTTAATTTTTATCTCTAAAATTCAAATTACTAATTTTTAGTTTATATAAAATAATAAATTTGAAATCCGTATAAAATAAATATTTTTATCTTTGAATTCTCTAAAATTCAAAATCACTATTTTTTATCATAATATTTATTTTAAAATAGATAAATAATATTTAATTTAAGAATCTTTAAAAAAAACATAACAGTATCATCTTCTTATATTTTCATACCATAATAATAATAATTATTATTATTATTATTATTATTATTATTATAATTTTGAATAACTACTTGACTTTTGTTCAACATTTTTAGAGAGATTAAAAAAAATGAAAAATAAATAAATTAGAAGCCCCAACAACATTAAAAATTACTGATTTCATTTTAAGTAGAATAAAATTGTATTTGAGCTTTCATTGGATGATGACAATTTTTCTCATAAATAAGGAGAATTTGTTAAATTTTTAATTTAAGGTAAGGGGACAGTTTATGAAAAATAGTCCAAAATCAATTATATATATAGGAGAGAAATTAATTTCTCCTGTGAAAGAAAAATTCTTATATTATTTAGTTCTATATTTAAATTCATTCAATAATAATTATTTTTATTTTTATTATTTAATAATTAAATAATATTGCAAATTGAGATATAGTATAAAATTCGATAGCAAGGTATTTTAAGAACTTCTTTTTATCATTATAAAATTATTAAAAATGTCTTTCAAATTTTCGTTATGGTTAAAAGTTATTTTCTTTTGTATAAAAGAGTTTTTAAATTAAAATTATTAAATCATTTTTTTAAATTTATTTTCAAAATGAATTATTAAATTAAGTTTAAAAACTTAAAGACAAAAATTAAATCAATCATATCTTAAAATGTTTATCGGCCTTGTTTTATGCATCTGAATAGGGAAATGGAAAATTGAAGATGAATAGTGAAGGGAGAATAAAAATACTACATTAAAGGATCCATTAACCTATATATTAATTAAAATGCATGCATATGAATCACACAAAGATATAAATTTTGCGACGTATCTTCATATTCTTTGAATGTGGAATTATCTAAGTTGGATTACTAATATGAACCTTAATACATATTGCAAATTGCAATAGCATTTTCCATTATTTTAATATAATTGAGAATATATACTGATCACTTTATGAACCTAAGTTGTAACATACTATTTACTAAGGAAATCAAGTCACATATCACTAAATTCATTCATTTGCAAATAAGCAGTATTTTTTAACACATATGATAAGACATATTTCATACTTTTTACAAAAAAGAATAAAAATCAAATGAAATATGTCAACAGATAACATCTTTGGAGATTTTGTAAATACCATAATTAAAAAGAATATTGAACGTAAATATGTGTATACAAGAAAACTCAATGACTCGGAAATATGTATTAATATACCAAGTTTCAAATTACAAAAGCATGCTCAAAATATACGAGTGGGACATATTAACCTCAAAACATCAAAAAGTTTGTATAAAATTATGCGAGATGGAACTCAAACATTGATTGTAATTCCTGTACAACAAAAAATACTATATAAATACTCATTGTGTAGCATGAAAACCTCAAGATAAACCAAAAAACTTTCCACGTGGGGTAGATCGGCTTCTTCTAAGTTCAGGCGTTGATGCATTGCTTCCTTCTTTAAGATGATTACCTGAACCATTCAAAACTTCGGTTTCAACTTTGCTAACCAATAAAGGTTCTCCTCTGCATGTGGACAAAAAGGTTTTATTATTATTACTAGTGATACTACTAATTACATGTTTGGATATACATTTGTGGAATTAATTTTGAATCAACATGATTTCATATAATTGATTCTAAGAACAGATGAGTTCGTAGTAACATGATTTTGTTTGGATAACAGACAGTAGAAATTTTATTTTGATACAAAATGTTGTTTGGATACAAGAAATCAAAATTGATTTTGGGTGGTTATAAAACAGACTTAGTCAAACAAAGAGTATAAATAGAACAAATAACATGACTCATGCAAAAGCTACATCTAAAAGTTTTAATAAGAGTAAAATAATAAGAAGGAAAAATAAAAATAACTTTTTACAAGTTAAAATTTATTATCTATGAGTTAAAAAATATTTTGAGAAAGTTGATATAATTTTGTTTTTACAAAGTAGTAATACATAAGCTAATTTTAATTTGTGGATAAATTTTTACCAAATTTTTTTAATAACTATTTTTGGAAAATTATATTCAAACAAATTTAAAATCTAAAATTTGAAATCATATTTAACATGATAAATGGAAAAATTAATCTTAGACCCAAGTCATAGTATGTTTTATGTCGCTCCAAACACACCCTAACACTATCTTAAATAGAAATAATTAGAGAATTAAAGAAGCAAAGTTTTTTCATATTACTCTTAGTCATACCTTGATTCAAAGCTCTGAAAATCCCTCACAAAGTTCTGACTTATCTTTTTGAGACTTAAAGCATCATAGATAGTAGACTTCATCAATCGAAGATCATTTTCGATCTCGGAGGAATTATTCTTTGGAGTTAGCTCCACATTAGTTTCACCAGCAAATTCCATGTCAGGAATAAATGGGGAGGTCGTATCAGGCTTTTGAATCGTAAAAGATGATAGTTGATTATGCTTGGCCTTAGCCTTACTCTCAACCTTGTTTTTTCTAATACCACCTTGTCTTACTGCGCTAAGTACTTGCTTGAATTGTTCCTCTTCATGTTCTTGATGAACTTTCTTATAGTTGAGCTTTTGGAGGTTGAAGATTGTTTCCGAAATGTTTTCATGCTTTACTATCTCTTGTGAATTCGCATACATTCTTGTGTTATTGTCAGTGCATGCAACCACTGACATTGTTACAAGGGATTTGTTAGCCGCTGGAAATGGATGTTTTAATATTGGTTGGTTGTCTATTGTTTCAGTTTTGACCTTGCTTTTAATGATTGTCCCTCTATCATTGGATTGTGATCTTCTCACCGGAGGAGATGGTGATCTTCCTTTCCCTGAGCTCATTAACTTTTCTTCACCCAGAAAAGACATTTTTGGCATAGAGTCCTTGTCCATAGAGGTAGAGGGAAACCTTGACCTTCTTTGCTTACCTGAAGAGCAACTTCTAGACTGGAAAAAAAAATTAAAATCAAATTAGAGAATATAGGAATCTTGTATCAGTATGACACACTTTCCAAATGCATATACATATTTTGTTTAAGTAGGTACTTTTTTTTAACAACCTCAAAGCTTCTATCCTCCATGAGTCTTTGACTAGTTTCATGCTTTGTGTTGATACCAGTACCATATTTAAGTATTTGAAAAGGTGAGACAGTTCTTGGTTTTTGAGAATCAGTGGTGGTGCTTCTAGCACTCCCAGCCTTCCACTGATCCAGTTCTGCTTCCTTCCTCTTCAATGCCAATTTGAGATTTGATATCTAAAAAAATAAATAATAATTTACATATGTTGTGCATGATATGTTCAAAATTACACTACTTATGATCAAAACTCAAACCTCTTCCTTTAGTTCTCGGATTTCACCAGTTTCTTTGTTAGATTGAGCAGCCCCAAGTTCAATGGATGAAACCCTCTCAGCAAATTTGAGTGTGCTAATTGTCTCTCCAAAAGCATTGAGTTCAGGATTTATATGAACAAACATCAAAGTTTTTGCATGTCCTCCTATTGATAAAACAAAAGAAATATATCTCAAGTTAATTTTACAGAAATTCAAAGAAGCAAACAACTATCGTAATAATCAAATGTATTAATCCCAATATTTAAATTTCTAATCACATATCGACCTAATCTAACAACTTGTCCCCAAAAAAAGATTATACATATGGTGGTCAAATAGTAGTAACAATATGGTTGTCATGAGAAAAATGAAAAAAAAAATCAAATCTTAATGTTTTTATAACCTATTACAATAAGTAACTTGCATAAAAAAAATTTCATCACAAATTGTTACCTAAAGAATCTTGTAATACTTGTGTAAGCTTGCTATTTCTGTAGGGGATATGTGGACTCTTTTGTGCCAAGGCAGAGATAACATCACCAAGTGCAGAAAGTGATCTATTTATATGTTGAGCTTCCTTTAGTCTCTCACCAACTGCCTCAGATTTGTCAACCCTCTCACTTCCAGCCAAATCCACAAGATGCAGACAACCTCTAAGAATGGAGTTGGAAACTAACTCCCTTCCTCTAACATGAACCGTCAAAACACTGCAACAAAAAAGTAAGAACATTAAATATATTAATGATTGTTATTATCTATTTATGTTCATGAAAATGTCATTGTACCTATGAGATCGACTGCTTCTCTCATTTAAAGTTGTAGCACCAACGACACGATTTTTTTTACCAATTCTCATCAAGTCTAGAACATCTTGAGTACAGGTAACTGGAACTAAAAATGCATCAGGCACATTGATACCATTCATTTGAGAATTGCTTCGTATGTCTAATGTATACCTTGTTAAGGTAATGAAATAACTAATTTAAATTTCATTCTCAATATCCATATAAAATTAAGAACTTGAAATGCCTTGTCAAAGAAAAAATTATGATAGAAGTCTGCTTAAAGGATATCTTCTATTAGAGCCATCATTGACTAACAAATCTCTCACTTGTTCATTATATATTTCAATCATCTGAACGAAAACTTCATAATTTATGGAACCAGACCTTTCCTTTGATATATAAAATAAGTCACCCAAAGCCCTGTAGTTTACACCCCATGTCTCTTCTGTTGTAAGATCAGGGCCACTCTACACAAGCAAGTTAATCACGTTAATAGTCATAATCAAGGAAATTAAAAAATGATAAAACATATATAATTAAACTTGTTATAGACCTAGTTATTTTCTTATGTAGATAAAGTTTCAATACCTATAAAATGGACATTTATCATTTTTTTGTAGACAAAGAACAAGATACTTAATTTAAATTTTAAGTAGGCTATATTGGGTAAAGTTTCAAATGAGGATTCAAGTTTTCAAAAGAAATGGCTCCAAACCAAGGAAAAACATATAATTGGTAAATAATACATGTACCATAAAACACAAAACTAGAAGGAAAAACATATGATTGGTAAATAATACATGGAAATTACATGAAAAGAAATCCAATAGTTGAAAGTTTGAAACCACATACATTGTGTTATCTTTTATGTAAACAACAGTCAATAATAGTTAAGTAATTCAAGATGCATAATTTTATGTTAATGAATCAACATTATGTAAACTAAACTATTATGCATCTCTCATACCATTGTGTATGTTTTCCCTGAGCCAGTTTGTCCATATGCAAAGATGCACACATTATAACCATCTAGAACGGATCTAATCAAGGGTTGAGTGTCAGCATAAATTTGTTCTGCATGTGACAAAAAAACATCATCAAAAAGCTTCAAATAAGAACTAACATGATAAAAACTATAACATTTATTTCATAAATTTATCATGAACGAAGAAAGATTTAACTGAGTGAATAACAAATAGGAGAAAGAATTCTCCTTAAATTATTTCAACTTCACAAAAGACTTTTCTTTTCAAAAAGAAATAATGTTTAGTATACAAAAGGTGCAAAGACAATGAAAATTTTCCTTCAATCCTAACCAATAACTAACTAACTAACTAATATTTTCTAACTAAAGTTTTGTTATTTCTTCCTAACTCCTAACCTATGGAGCACAAATGCTCCTCTTGAATGCAAAGTCAAAATCTTGGACAATTTTTCAACATTGATATCCTTCCAACCCTTACACAACACATTTCAAACAACTTGACCCAATACTTATATGAATGGACACTTCAAAAATAAAATATTATAAATCATTTCAAAATTATTTTAAATATTTAGAAAAGTAAGTTTGAATCTAATCTAAAATATTTATGGTAAATGATTAATATGGTCGTTAAATGTGTGAGGCACTCGTTAATTTAATCCTTACAAAAGTAGAATTTGTTTTAGTCCCTAAAGGTATAAAATCCTGCAATTACATCCTATTAAGTTTTATGTGTCTCTTTTGTTACTAAATTATAATTTTAAGGACCAATTTTTTAATAAAATAGGGGTTATTTTGCCATTAAGTTATAATATGGGAGATCAATTTGAATTTTTATACATTTAGGGATTAAATCAATTTTTTCATTTTTTTTAAAGACTATAGTGATAATGTCTCACACTTTAATGATCAATTTGGTCATCTATCCAAATATTTATAAAATGTTTTCAGTGCCTATTCAAGATGTATTAAAATCTCAATTATGTTAGATAGACCCAAATCTCACATAAACAAGAAATAGTGTCAAAATATAGTATGTAAGTGGAGGAAATTCTCACCCAAGCGTGTTAATTTGAGTGGAGTCTAAACCTAATTTCTAAGAATATTAAAACAAATATAATACCTTAGATAATTTATTATATTAGCTAAATCCTAAACCTTGTACAAGTCATCATTGTTAGAGTCATAATAAAATAACCATGTAGAACAATAAAAGTATATGTTGTAAGATGTAGAAAATTAAACTACCTTGTGTTACAGTTGTTTTAAACACCTTATTGAATGAAAATACTCGTCTAGCATCTTTTCCATGCTTAAGGGGATTTATGATCATCATATCTCCATTTTCTCCAATGTAATCAATCGTAGATTGCCCATTTGATTGCCTTGGTAAGAATGGTCTCACTCTACAATAAACCCTAATGGCTCCTGTAAACAGAAATTTAATTAATCAAACTTAAGTGAATAAGTAGATCCATTCAATTCAATATCAGGACTTGGAATCTTATGCACCTTTGAGGTCTTGTACTTGATTGTAAAGAAGACGATTCTCCTCCAAAACTTTGTGGTAGGAAGTAGAGGCCACTTTAAGGCTTTTGATATGATCCTCTAAGTAAGGAATGAAACTCAAGTCAATCTAAAGATTATCTTATTAAAAAACCTCTACAAACAATATATTCAAGGATAACTAATTCTTATATGGTTACCTAGCCTACTCAATTCGTCTTCCCACTCTAATTGAATTTGTTTGACCTCCAATTTTGTCTCTTCAAAAAAGTACTTCATACCCTGAAGTGTGAGAAAAACCTTAGTGTATGATGCTAAACACCTAATCCAAACTCACATGTAAAAGTAACAACTTACAAGAGCAATAGCTCTTATTATCCAATTTATACCTCAAGTTGTTTTTGTTGTGTATTGATTACTTCAGTATACTTTGCATAATAATTAGCATTTTGTCGAATATTATCATGTTTTCCACCACAATTGCAGAATTTGGAGAAGTCATTTGACGCTAAGCTACTTCTTTGATTCAGATATAGTGAGATGGCTTCTATGAACTCTCTCTTTGAGAGACAACCCATGTCATCTTTTAATATTTTCTTCAAGAAAAGTCCAAGCTGCAAAGAATTGTTAAGAAGTGTACTTCAGAAAACCTTTGAACTAAAAGAAAAATGCTAAATGAATGGAACTTGTAATGAAAAATAAATGTAAGTTGCATGCAAAATATTAAACCATGAACCACCTGAGTGCTTTGAGAAACAAGCAAAGATGAGAAATTCTTTACTACCTTGCTGAGTAAGGTATCAATTACCTACAAATTGTCACCCATACAAGTAAGACTACATGAAGAAAGCAAATCTTTATCCAGATTATTATTGAAAAATATCTAAAATAATAACCTTATTTTTTAATCTTATATACTCACTAGTAGTACAATTTCAATTGACATTATATTTGTCTAACTTATTTTTTTATAGTTTAGGTTTAGACTTAACCTATAAAACTAACTTATAAAATAAATATTGCACCTATGTACTCTATTTTGATCATAACACTAGTATGATATAACATCTTTAATCTATACACTCATACTAAAGACTAGAAACCTCAAGTGTAAAGTTTGTAAGACTAAACATTTGTAGGTAATCCTGTAATGATCAAATAGAGAGTGACCTCATAAGCCCATTAGCAATCACTATAACATATTAAGAATTTGGATTTTGTCCTAACTTAACAAGACAAAACATGGTAAAGATTGTCTTGTATACTTTAATTCTAAGATATTTTCTTATTTAGTAGGAGCTTCTCATGCATAGCTTAGTCAGAACATACTCTTTTTATAATAATCATATATTTATCTTTTAAGAAACACGTTTTGTATAAACTAGAATAGAAGCTACAACACTAAAACAAATTGGAAAGGATCTTACCGACCATTGCATTCAAAGGCAGATCTTCAATCCCATTGGTCTCTCTAAGGTAAGCCTGAAGAAGTCTGAGTCCAAAGTGATCATAAAGGAAAGCTAGAGCATTGACAGTTCTAGTTTCTTCAATTAAGAACTCTTCAGATAGTTGAAGAAATTCTAATAATTGTTCATACTGTGATGATTCTGACTCGTCCAGTGATTCATCGACACTTTCACTACCAACTATGGAGGAAGGAGACTTCTTTGGAAATGAAGTGATTCTCACAGCTCCACCGTACCTCCACACACCAATCCCACCGGATAACTTCCATTCATAAAATCCCTTCAAACATAAAATGCAATCTACAACTTTATTGGATGAACCTCCCTACATTTCAAGTTTTAAAATAAAACCTAGTTAAACATAAAACTCAAAGTAGTCCAAATAAACAAACAAAACTTATTCGTGAAAATGATACAATTATTTTCAAAGATGACAACATGTGTTCGAACAATTTTTTTGAAATTGGTTTTATTACCAAAATTATTTATTATTATGTAAAGAAACTCTTAAGTTTGGTTGAATTTGAATGGATTTTTTTAAAATTATTTTAATTCATAATTCAAAGTTACTTTTGATATTATACATAAAATAGGAGTCACTAGCAAAGAATTATTATTTTCAAAATATTTTCAAATTAAAAATATAAAAAACAAAATAATTTGATTGAAAATATTTAAATATGTTTAATTATATTTAAGGTTCCTAAAATTTAAAGTCTTTTGATTTTAATTTTCAATATTTAAAAAAAGTTTATTCTAATTTCTCAAAATTAAAAAAAAATATATATGATTTTAGTCCTTAAATAATAAGTTTAAAGGATTAAAATGAATTTTTTAAATTATTTTTAGTCCTTCAAATTTAAGTTTATAAAGATTATATTCATTTTATTTAAAGGATTAACATGAATTGTTTTTAATTTGAGTGAGTAAAAATTATTTATCCCAAATTTTAAAGATTAAAAAACATAATTAAGCCTATTCAAAAATATAAAAATAAAATGTAGATAATAAATTCAAATAAATATATATATATATATATATATATATATATATATATATATATATAATTCAAAGGACTTTGAATCTAAAATTTATTCATAAATTCAATCATTAATATAAAATTATTTGTAATCGTCGTGTAATTTTTTAATTAATATTTTGACGTACTAAAAAAATGTTGAATTTTTTTATATTTTCATAGTATTAAATAAATTTAATTGTCATCAAATACTTTTTATAAAGTATTTAAAGATTGAGTATATTAGTTAAACGAGAATAACTATTCAATAGTAGAATTTAATTAAAATTCATGGACCAATATATACTTTTATATTCCTTCGTTTAATTACAGATTATTGATAAATTAATTAATTAATTAATTAATAAATATTAAAGAAGTTATGTCGAATAAAATTCTTATCAGTTGACAATTTTGAAAAATAAGAATATACTGCCTTCAAATAATTCATTCATTCAGTAAAAGAAATCAAGAAATTTCCCATGAAGGAGTGGACTTATCTATTTTTCTAGGATTTCGAAGTCTAAACAATACAATGCAAATCTTATTGTTTTTTGTATGAAAAGTAAAGGAAATGGATTCAAGTAAAACCAATACTTCAATATTTGAATGATTAGAAAGAGAGTGAAAAAGAAAAGGCCAAACCTTCTCCAAATCAGATGCTTCAAATGTGAGAAGCTGCATATCCTTAACAGCCTCTAAGAAATTCCTCATGTTCTCAAAATACTGAATTGCTGAGTGGGCCGCACCCTCTGTACATTGAACAGAAAGCCCAGGATTCTCCACCACCTATCCAGCCCAACCCACAAAACAACCAAATTTAAAAAAAAATAAAAAAGCAATCTTCAAAAATGGAAAAGTGAAGAATCCCAAAATTGTAAAGTGGAAAAGGGTGGGACCTTGAGAACAGCACCAGGGTTGACTTTGTTGAGGACATTGCAGAGGATGAGGCCATTGCGAAGAGCGAGGCAGAATTCTTCTTCGGAGGGTGATGCAGAGAGTGATGATGATGCAACATAGTCCATTTCGCGTAGCCATTCCGTCGCTTTGTGCCTTCTCCAAGCTTCCACAATTCAACAAAAACCAAACTCATTTTCATCAATTTAGTAAATTGTGACCAAAGTTCTTCTGAATTAAGTAAAAATAACATATTATATTAGCTAGTTCCTTTATTCGATGTGGGACCCTGATATTACTATAAAATTTACTTTATATAATGATGCTAAATTCACATAATTATATATTAGTTAATTGTTATAGTAAACAATTTAAAAGACACGTCTAATTTAAGATTATATTTCATTGATTTTTTTTTTAACAAAAAGCACGTAAAAACTAAAATTATTATTTTAATCTTTAACATTATTAAAACTTAAAATGTTTGTTGATATTAAAAATTTTGATAGATGTAGGAACTAAATTACTTACTGTCTTGTAAGGAATATTTTCAAAAGTAATGATTTGATTAGTCGCTCCATATGTCACTGTTTCAACAATGAACAGTTGCTTTTCTGTTCCATTTGTACTCAAACATTAAGTTCGAGAAAAATATATTTTTTTAAATAATATAAACTCATTTTGTTTTTAAAAAAATTATTAATTGTTAATTTCCTGTGCTACATACCTTGTTCAAAAATCTTAACTTGATATTTAAAGATGATAAGTTTTACTGGAATTATATCAAAATCATTTTAAAACAAAAGGTTAAGGGACTGTTATTAGATGTTAGGTAGAATTATCTTAACCTATAAAAAAAATGTGTCTAATCTATAAAAAAAGAACTAAAATATGTGTCTAAATTAATTTACTTCAATTATAGATTTGTATTAAAGCATGTAAAAAAATAAAAGATGTAATAACTAAATTAATGATATGTAAATAAAATAGTGTTGAGTGTTTTCAGGAAAAAAATAAAATAAAAAAAATACTTCATTAAAAGTCATCAATTATATTGTCCAGTCAAAGACAAATATTAATAAATATTTCATCATATCAATAAAATACCTGAAAAAACAAGGTTACACTTTTTTTTTTTAAATGCCAAAGTTAAAGAAGACTATCAATGATTAATATACCAGCAGAGTGACATTTGAGATGATAGAAACTTATGGTGTATAATCGACAATGCCAAAGATTATGCTCTAAAAATCATAGTTAAGGAACCCTTTCGGCTATATATATATATATATATATATATATATATATATATATATATATATATATATATATATATATATATATATATATATATATATATATATATATATATATATATATGATACATGATGTCACAAATTTTAGACCCAACCCTTAAGGACAAGGGGCACAGTCCTACACCTTAATTGAGTGGTGGGGTGTTAAACCATTTTAGTACACGCACTTTCCCCCACTTCATCATCAACCTCTTCCTACATCTCCTTTTTCTTTTCTAGCTACCCACACTTTGTTAATATATAAAACCCTAACTTTGGTATTTTATTTTTCTGCCTTTGTTAAGTAAAGGGGTCCAAGTAATAATTGGTTGACCCAAAAAGAAAAGAAAAGAAAAAAAAAAAAAAAGCAAACAAATTACGTTAAAAGAACCAAATGATAGGTTGTTTCTTTTCTTTTTCCTCGGGTCATAAGAAACAAACATCACACCTAGAAACGTGCCTCAACTTCAGAATCTTTTGCCAATTATCCACTTTTTTGACAAAGAACTATTGTCTTTCTTTTTTTTCTTGTTTTCTTTTCTCTTTTTTTAAAAGGAACTACACACCACATATATGTGCCACAATTTTTGTTTAAGAAAGTTCTTCCTACTTTCATAAATTTGCAGGTTATATGTACCCTAATTTTGCTACTTCCAATAAGGTTCCACAAAAAGAAAATTATGATTCCCAATTTAAAATATGAATGAACTCTTTAAGCAAAGTGAAGTTCTTGCCACCATTTCAAATTGATGGATATTAAAGTGTTTTATTCAGGAATTTAAAAAAAGTAATTACTGTAAGATAATAGTATGAAGGGATAAAATATAATTTTTTTTAATATTTATTGAAACAATCAAAAAAAACATGAATCAATAAAAAATAGTAACATATAAATCATTTTGAAATGAATGAAATATTAACATGTTTGATTTGATGTTATCAAAGAGTAAAAACATACATAATGATAAAACAGAAAAAAAAAAAAAAAAAAAAGTAACTTACGTGTGTAACATAAATTATAATTATAAAATCATAGTCATGGCTTAGATTTTCCTATAATTTTAAAGATTGATAGGATTTAAAAAAATCTTTAATTTAAATTTTCTTATAATTTTATACATTGGTACTATTAAAAAAACTTTTCAAAATTTAAGATACATTCTGAGTGTACGAGTTTTTTATATTATCATTCAATATTTTGACCCCATGTTCTAAAAAAGTATTAATTTTCATAATAATTATTTTAAAATATAAACATAAAACTATTCTATTAATGGATGTTGTAAAATAACTCATACTAATCATAAGATATGGAGATTAAACTATGATATTTATATATATATATATATATATATATATATATGGTATTAAACTGAAATATACACCTGAATTCATATTAAGTATAAGATGGTGTGATTAAAAGGAGAAAATTGAAAGTGACATTAAAAAATCATACCTGCTTCCTCTGCCTTCCTTTGAGCCAATTCATTATCATTGAAACCTTCCTGTGTGGCAGTGCATGAAGCCTCCTTCATGCTCACCAAACCCTTCAATCCTCTCTTTGAAGGAGATGTGAAAAATGAGTTTTGGGAACTCTCTTGAGGCATCTCAATTTCCCTGATAATCGACCAGGAAAATCATTAGATAACAGTATATAGTAGTATTATATGCATGCTTATTAATACTTTCCCACCACAGATAAAAAAAGGTTCATACTCCACACAATTCTTATGTATGATATCAACATCAAGAAATTGATTGTGGGTAGCTTGATATGTATAGCAAAACTAAGCTTCTGATATGATCAATTCTTATCGTGAACCAGTGAAAAATTGTGATGATAACATTCAAAAGAAAAGCATGACATTGGAGGAAGAAGAGTGAAATTACCTGAGGAAGTGAAAGGTTGAGAAGAAGAAAGTGGAGTTGATGGTGAATGAAGAGGTTATGGAAGTGGAAAGAGGGTTGTGTTGTGAATGAATTAGCATTCAAAAGAAAGAGAAACATGAAAAGTTGGAAGGCGTTGAATTTCAAACGTCGTTAATGGCATTCTCGAACTCTAAAAATAGGATCAAGGACGGCGTCAATTGACGGAGATGCGACTTAGCTATTGTATCTATTTTAATACTCTTATTAGGATAAAATTGAAAAAATAAATTAGGATTGTAAAATCAATTAATCACTTGTTATTATTAAAATTAATTTTGATATTGTATTAAAAATATTGAAACATCTAATTTATCTCTTAAAATTTGGTTCAATAAAAAAAATTATACTCACATAATTATCGTATTTTGTACGAGATTTTATTTATTCTGAGAAGATTTTTTATCATATTTTCCTATTTAGAATTTCATGAATAATATTATTATTTTAACATAATTTTTTGAATATTATTAATATAATATATTTAAATTTTATGTTAATCCAAAAAATTGTAAAAAATATATATTATTTTTTTACATTATCATCGTATGTAATAATAATTTAAAAATTATATCTAAAATAATATTTAACTTGTTAATGGTGTAAAAAAAATATAGCAGGCAAAGAATTAAATTCAAATAAAATAACTTTGAATGTTATTTATTATTAACTATACCGACAATATTAGTTATTATTAATAAATAAATAATTAAAGACAATAACGTGATGTATAAATGACATGACACAGTTCCTACCAGTACCATGGTGTACTAATGTCGTCACTCCAGAGCAGAGAATTAATAATGCGTATCAAGAGAAATCCATTAAACAGTGTAATTCATTGACGCAACACATGCGATTATACAGTGGTAGAAAGAAGATCGCAAACTATTATCATATTTGTAACAACACATAGACATTTAGGTATGGAGTTAGGACCGATATTTAAACATCATTTTATCAGGTGTGTTTTATAGGTTTAGGTGCCATATTTCTATATTTTTATTATCATACTTTTGACTGTGGATTAATCAACGTGCTTAGCACTGATTTCGATCAATCAATTCATTGTTTCTTAAGAACAAAATACATAAACTGTTTCTTTTTTCTTTTTATCAAATTATTTGCTTCCATGTTTAGAGGAGAAAGGAAAGATTTAAAAAAGAAAAAATGTTTGGGGAGAAATCCACTCAATATAATAGATTTTTTAACTTTATGTTTACGATTTATTTATTGGATTAAATATTATGTTTATTAATAATGTATAGATTGTATTAAATATTATGTGTATTAGGGAACGTTGGATCCCTAAAATGAAAATGATTGCGGAGGTTAGGTTTGTGCTTTTGGTGGTTTTACATTTTGCACCCCATCTAAGGGACCACGCAAAGGGGACCTCATCGTTTCTCTTTCTCTCATTATTTTGTGATTCACTTTCACAACCTTTTCTTTTAGGTTGGTTGGTTAAAGATGGAAGAAACTTCACCTACAAGCATGCATGTAGTATTACTACTATTGCACTTTCTTCTTTCTCAAAAGAGCTGAATTACAAATGGATCATTGTTAATCATACATTTTTTGTCTTTGTCCTTATACATAAGTTTTTCTTTTCTTTTCTTTTCTTTCGCATCTCTAATTACTAGGGTATTGTTGAAATAAAGTATCTTAATTCATTTGTATTTGTATACGTCTCAATGAGTTATGAAATTTAATATTATGTTTTTTAAATAATTAATATTAAGTGAAATTGTCAGGTAAATATTTAAATTACCTTGACTCAAAGAAAAAGGCACCACACAATTCTTAGCTTGATGTTGTTGTTGGAGCCAAATAAAACAACTCCACTTCCTTTGTTGGTAAAAGAAAAAAAGAAAAAGCATGACATTCTTAATTTCCGTGATTATAGAAATTGTTGTTGCTGTTATTGATTTTGGGGTCCATTGCACACTGGGATGCACATTCTCATATATTAATTATTATCATTCATTCACGCATGCTAACTAAACAATGTGCTTTTCTAATGCCAAACATTTGCTATTTGCAACCCTTTTTTCACATTTCTCAACCTATGCATGCATTTCACTTCTGAAAATAAAATAAATTAATTCCAACTCTGGACTAATTTTTGTTTTTGGATTCATTGTATAAAGTATGAGAATCAACTCTTGTTCTCGGACTCACTTGTACTAAGTTCGAGAAACTCTTTTTTGCTGGGCTCAGAACAAGAATCAGTGTTTGGGCTTGCAAGGTTTCTGGCTCAATGGACAAAGTAAATTTGTTATTTCCATTTTCAATTTTACCAGTATACTTCTAGTTTATATTTAGATCAATTATTCATTTAATCTTTATAGTTTTTTTTTTCAAGTTTTACGTACCATTTGTATTTTTGTCAATCACTACGAATTCACAGAGGGGTTAAAAGAGATTAAAATTAATTTAATACATAAAATGGTTAAAATAAATCATTTTTAATTATGAAAAAGTAAAATTTATACCATTGTAAGATTGAGAATTTAATTTTTTTAAATCATAAAAACATTCAAATACTACAAATAATGATATGATATATCTTATATAAATTCATGATTCACTTAGTTAAGAATGAAGTTAGATGATAATTTATATATATATATTTTTTTTAATTTGTTAAGATTTTTTAATTATAAAATTATCACGGATTAAAATTTTAAAATAAATTATAATTATTTCAAGTATGAAAATGAATCATAACAATATAATGATAATAGGAGGTTGTAACACTTTCCTATCTAAATGGAATATTCACGCTCACCAAAATAAAATGAGAAACTTTTTATGAAGGTTAGATTGAATAATATATATATATATATATATATATATATATATTATTAGAAAATTAATAATTATTTTGATTTTGATTCTAACTATCAAACATAAACATTATCTCATAAATATGTTGTAAATTAAATGTGAAAGTGTACTCGAATTAGTCATAATGATGATGTCCCTCTCAGAGCACTATTAATCTTATGTTCTTCCACCTAAAGAGCATTTGTATTTCCCTCTGGATTTTCTCTATTGATGGGGATAGAAAAAAAGGAACGGAAACTGAGACTTACGTTCTGTGTGTACTCTCAAAAGGGGACCATGACCCTTTAAATAAACAGAATTAGGTTAATTACTTAAGTTTTAGTATTTCTAATTTGGCCCCTCATCAAATAAGAAATTACTTCATGGTCTCTACACAATTTTATTTTCATGACATATGTCTTTAGCCAAAATTTTAATTTAGTCAGATCACTTTATTATTTGGCTTAATAAATAATGATCCTAACACATTTAAATTATGTATCATATATATACATGACCCAAAATTTGCCAACAATCTCTCACTGGTCACAAATATATATGTCCTTACAATCTTACAAATGTGTTAGACTTTATGAGCTCAAAATTGTCATTATATTCTTTTAGCATACTCCAAAAGTCTCGTCCATTGATCATATAAGGATATAGAACCAAACCAGCTTTTTATTGCATCATCACAACTAAAACTAACAATGATTACTAATCCTAACATAACCAAATAACATGGATTCATCATGAAATATATAGCATGAAAAATTACGTGAAGATGATTTATACACGCTTATTTTCAACTGGTCCAAACTTTAACTTATCGAGATCGATATAATAACCTTAATGTACAAAGTGTAATGAATGAACAAAAAAACCGCATATCTATACATAACCAAATATGTCTAAAAATCAATGTATACATATATGAAATTAAACATAGAACATAAATAATATGAAAATGACTAACTTCCACTAAACCACAAATTCCTCAAATTGTAAAACACCCATGTGAGCAACATGCTTATGAAAGACCTTGGGCGGAAGTCCTTTAGTTAGAGGATCTGCTATCATAAAGTTTGTCCCTAAGTGTTTTATGGAAATCTGTCAAGTCTGTACTCTTTCCTTAACAACTAGGAACTTAGTGTCGATGTGTCTTGACTTAGTCGAGCACCTATTATTGTTGGAATATATTACAGTTGATTTGTTGTCACAATATAACTTAAGTAGTTTTTCAATGCCTTTCACAATTTGCAGCCCTATGACAAAATTTCTCAGCCATATTCCATAATTTGATGTCTCATAGCATGTTATAAACTCTGTTGTTATAGTGGATAAAGTTGTAAGGGTTTGCTTGACACTGCGCCAAGAAACCGCACCACCTGGCAACATGAAAATGTAATTAACCTAAAGTGGATTTCAAACTATCTTAACATCCTGCAAAGTCCAAGTCAGAAAACCCAGCGATCTCAAACTGGGTTGACCTCCTGTATGTGAGCATATAATCTTTTGTTCTCTTTAAATATCTCATGACCATTTTTGCTGCTTTCCAATGGTCCATTCCTTGATTGCTTAAATATCTGCCTAGAACCCCAACTATATATGTTATGTCTGGATGCGTACCTACTTGGGCATACATCAAACTCCCTATAGCTAATGCATAGGGATTCTTCTGCATTTCCTCAATTTTCAAATTTCCCTTTGGGCACTGATTGAGACTAAACTTGTCTCCCTTAGCAACTGAAGTATCCCCGACTCATGATGCATAGGTTCTTGAGGATCTTGAGTTTTTTCTTGAAGAACAGTCAAATCATCCTGAGAATGGGGTTCATCATCAATGTCTTGT